GTATTATTTTGTCAGTGAATCGTAGTCTCTTCAAAATACTGTAACTTCTGTGACCTGTGAGTCCCAAACTGCTCACTTCAGAGTTACGAAAATAGGACCAGCCAGGTCTGTGAGACTTAAAATAGCATCAGTTTTACCCCTAACTTTACTACTACAAGTGGTAACACATGTGTAATGGAAAGGAGAAGCCCTGCAGAGAGGTCTTCACCAGCCTGTATGGATCCCACAAGGTTTGCATTCAGTAGAATTAAACAGGATAGCAGAGGAAGTAATAACAGGTGCTACTAAGCTCAATGACTTGTAAACATCAGATATTTTGCATAAAACTCTCTATGACCTACAGAGAACAGCTTAGGAAAGTGTAGTTTGCTCTGCACTTTATTGCGTCCAGCTTCTCCTTTGGTTTTTACAGTCCTCAGGCTGAATTTTTGCTGACAGTAATAAATCCCCTAAAAAAGCACTCCTGACGAGTCTCCTTGCCCTACTGTCACCCACATAGCAACCTGGTGGGTTCTGATGGAAGCACTGAAACTTTGATTGCAGTCATTGCTCAGTTTATACTACAATGAAATCAACATCAAGTAGGATCTGAAAGCAGGTCTACAGCACAGAAACCATTAGAGAATTGGTCTCTCAAAAGTCTGAAAGGAATTAAAGAGCTGCTGATACTTTATGATCCAACAGAAATGTGTTTCTGCAGGGATTTTTGGATTCGCAGAAAGGATAGCAGAAAATTAAGCTTTCTGGAATGCTCCACAATAAATCTGTTTACATTCTCGTTAGGAACCCAAAATCATCAGGATGTCAAAACATCTAACTGTCATCCTTGAAGAGAAAGAATAATTATAACAGACATGACTGCTACGGGAAGGAAAAGCTATTTTAATAGCATTGCCATAATTTGAGTTATGGGTGTCTGCACCTGTCCCTATTAAATAAACATAAATATAGAGTAAGAAAGATACCTAGAGGTAAAAAGAATTATAACAGGAGCCTGTATTTCCCCTTTCACATCTCTTCTTTTATCATTGCTATTTGTTTGATTATATCTCAGATTAGGTGGTTGAGCTAGCTCCCTTCTGAAATAGCGGTGTAAGAGCTGGAAGGCCTTATCCAAGACCCTAAATCTATCTCTCAGATGCTTAATTGCCACGGAAAATAATAGGTGCTAAATGTTCATAAAAGTCTGCCTACAGTCTGTACAACAGAGTCTGTATTTTAGGGTCCATTTGGGTCATTGATCATTTTCGGGCACTACTGAGATACAAAATTGTTCAAAATACTTATTCAAACTGGAAATGAAAATCATTTTTGATAATTTTTTTTTTCCTTTTGAAAATGTAGGGTGACTGCATAACCAGGACGTAGATCTACTATTTCTTTCTTGTTTATTCTTAATAGTCATACGATAAGATACAGAATTTCAGCTAAGGACAATGACTCTGCAATTGGCAGGCTTCTCTTTCTAGAGTTTTATATTGACAGTTCAAAGGCTGGGTACTGCACAAACAAGTAGTGCAAATCTCTCAGAGCACGACATTTTAACTATTGCTGTACCGTTGCCATCCAGCATTGACAGCACCTCTTGGAATGATAGAAATCAGGACAAGCTACTATCCAGCCTCTGTATTTTCAGCAGAGCAAAGGACAGTCACACTTGGAGGCACTGGACTGGGGTGCAGCAGTCTTGCATCCCATCCAGTTCTGCCACAAACTTTCCATCTGAGCTTGGAGAAATCACTTCTACTCTGCGATGCTTGTAAATACTAGCAAGTTCTCCTCACTGTCTTCATGTCTCTTCGGGTTCACTGAACTAGCACTTTTCCTCTCTAGCAGCTTGTACCAAGCTCAGCCCAGAGGGGCTGCCATAAACCACCTGGTCATGCTTGCTACCAAGCTGAGGAAAAAGGTGAAACAATCCCAAACAAAGAGTCCTGGGAGCTGGAAGGGCATGTCCTCATTTCTCCTTCTGTTTCTTGCTCACCAAGAGCCATACTTTCACATCTGCATGTTTCTGGGAGGCATCTCAGAAGCGCTAGGCACCAATGAGAACCCAAAAGAGCTGGCTTTAACAAGTCACACTCGGACGTCATGCCTGTAACAGAAAGCTGTAGCTTCCATCAGTCACTGCCTGAAAGGGGCAGAGTTCACAGGGACTCTCGTTCTCGGTGCCATGTCTGAAAGGTGTGCAGGGGAACCACTAACCCCTCTTCTCCCCTCTCAGAGAAGTCCCGCCAAAGGCATATATACTTACATGTCGGCTAATCAGCGTTCAATCTGCATGGGTCTTTCCTTCAAATTGATCTTCCTATGTGTACAGCTATCAATCCTTCCTTTTTTACATACCTATTCATGTGACCAAACGTATTATAATAATAGCAGTTTGCACAGCTTTGACTATATTGTCAGCGAGTGGCTTGCAAGGTGAATGGGCAGTGATTCTTCACAATGGCTGGCAGACAGAGCAAGAGCTGAAAAGAAATGTTTTATGATTTCATCCTAGTTGGGAGTCTAGCTGTTCTACTGCTGCCCCGTTTTATGTTGTAACTCAAATTGTATGCACGAGAATAGAGGCGACAGAAAGGAGACACAAAGCCCAATAAACATATCCATGGACTGCACAGAATGGCCAGACAGGGCTTCTTTTTGGTTTTGATTTATAACAAATAGAGCAGGACAGGAGACCTGACCAATTATCCGTCTCTCACTGTGCTGTGCTCTTTCTGCCACTGTGATGTTTTGCTAGAAGATACATAGTTATTTTTATACTGTCTTTTCATATCGTCAGTGTCTTGCAATCTCTGCTATGATGTGTTAAGCAGACAGTCATAGCTACCACTGAAGCTGGCAACCGAGACTTGCAAATCTTTCTATCAATGCCAGTTAAGCTGCGCTCTTTGGGGCTGAGCAGTGCAAATTCCCTGTGTTTCTTTCTACTGATCCTACTGGGATATGACAAAATTCAATTCATCAGAGAGACCCACCGCAGAAGTGAGGAGGACCACGAGTTTTTAAAGTTTTCCTAGACCAGACAGCTTCTTGTTATGTCTGTGGTACAGGATCCCTAATAAAGAAATGTTCTTCCGGAACAAAAAGCATCCTTACCCAGGCTGGCGCCTGCTTTAGTTATGAATGCACAGCCATTTGTTCCAGACGCTGTAAGCACTAGACCCACAAACCTAAGGTTAATATTTGCTAATATTCTGAGCACACTTATGTGCCACTGAGGAGTGCTTGCATACAAAGGAAATGCAAATCCCATCATTCATTTAAGCCAGGGACTATGACAGGTCTCACCTCACTGATGTCAACAGTAATTACGTTCATTCATGCCCAGGTTGAATTTGGTCTATAAATTCATAAGGTAAAATCCGGAAGCCCTGACAGAAGCAAGACTCCCACAGACAATCACATAATATTTACCCTAAAAATGATATTGGGGTTTGGCCTATAGAAAAGAAAATAAAAAACTATTGGCATTCCTAACCTTTAGAATTCAGGATGGTTTTCCACAGTTGTGTGGTTTCATCCACAGTCCTGCTTCCGCCAGTTCTTGTAATAATACTTGCACTTTCTCCTGTTATTTTTCCACAGCTGCCTAATCATCCCCACCAACGGGCAGAGTTCCCTGCTAGGAAGCTTAGGGTTTGTTGCTGTTGTTGTTGTTGTTGTTTTTAATTTCATTACAACACTTCTGTTGAACTTCAATATGTTACTCACCACACACCACACATCACAAAGAATTTCTCTGCCAGAGTACATATACATAGAAAGGGGTTTTAAAAGACAATAATATGAAAATAGGATGGCAAATTCTCTGTTTCAAAGCACTGGCTACATCTCCATTGATTCACTCTCCAGGATCAAAGACCAGCTCCTCTCTTAGTCTTGTCCTCTCCAAGTAGATAAACCCTGCTCCCTCAGCCTCTCCTTGTATGTCATGTGTTCCAGTCCTCCAAGCATCACAGGGACTTGACCCCAGACTCTCTCCAGCTCATGAGTTCACCTCTCTTGTAGAGGTAAAACTGATTCTAAAGAATAGGAGACTTGAAAGTTTTCTATTTCAATCAATAAAAATTGATAAACACTGTTTCATAAAGAAACATTTTCCCAAAGATTTCGTACACTATCAAGAACAAATAGCTGCTTTGTGCAGTGCATAGCTCTGTCTGTCTGCTGATGAAACCCGCTCCTGTGAGGACTTCCTAGCATATTGCCGTTCTCTGTGTAATCAGCGAATACAGAAGTCTGGCTTCTAAAAAAACATGTGCTGATGGAGAACAATACCTTAACTTTCAGTCTTTTGCTAAAAGTTGAGACGCAAGGATCCTGGTTTCCCAGGAAACCTGTATCTATCAGCAGTAATTCCATTATACATTAGTTGACACTTCCTTGGGAACTTATATACGACCTTTTTCATTTGTTTAATATTACCAATATTTCTCATCTCTTTCAGGTAGCAGCTAATGTCCCACTGAAGTTTGAAGATTATGCTGACCTCAATAAAAATTAATGTTAATTTCTCGACTATAAAGAAATCTTCTGCAAAACAGAAAATGCTCTGTTTGGATTTTTGCATGGAGACGATATTTCTAGAGAGGACTTTCCTGGTGTCCCAAGATTTTTTCTGATTCATTAATTTCCTTGGTGGGCATCAGTATGATACATAAACAGTTTTAGGAGAATCATCTTGATTTCCTTACTTTACGCTCCTGCCTAACTCCTCTTTGTAACTAAAGGAGCTTAAAGGCACTGCACATAGATCAGAAATTGATTAGAAAACACACACTGAATTTCATCTCCATACTTCAAAAATGTACTAGAAAATAAAGAAACGTATTAAGTAATTTACTGAAGAAGGAATAGCAGTCATTTCTTCAACTCAGAAACCTGACATAATAGGCACCATCTGTGCGTGTAATGTCTGTGAATATTAAATATCCACTACATTTTTTCCTGAATTTTTTGAACAAAAATGAATTTGTTTTCTTATATCTTAGGTAAATGAATGCATTGCTTCACTGAAGACGATAGACACAAAAACCTGAACACTGCCAAAGCAATGCCTCCCAAGATCACAAGGATTATGTGATTTCTGATGACTGATTCTAGCAGAGAGAACATTTGTTACGCACGGCTAAATTTTCTTGCAATCAGTAAGTTATTTCATCGACTTATTTAGAACTCTGATTATTGAAATATGCATAAAACTAAGTGAATGCTTTATTTTTCTTTCTTTGCAAACATGGAAATTGAATCTCAGTGCAAGCAATTGGTCTAATTTCTTGGTGTAAAAGTGTGAATAGCCCCTTCAGCATTAAAAAAAAAAAATACAGAATGAGTAAATGCAGTTTTACTCCTAAATTATAATTTATGTTACCTATTGAATTAAAAAGTTATTTCTGAGAGTTTTTTAATCACTTAGATCTGAGGTTTTGTAAATGTATTCAAAATTGACAAAAACATAAAATCGAGCATTATAGTGATAAATATTAACATATAGTGATAGTAATTTAGTGAACCTAAATATTTTATGTTTGAATTTCGGTAAGAATAAATGTTAAATCCAACCAGCCTACGAATATGGAAAAAAATAATTATGAAAAGCTTTTAGAGAATATAAACATGGTTCTATTACTATTACTTCCCTTCACCTCCCTCCTAAATCCTTTCTTTTAACACAATTTAGACTCACCAGGTGAATAAAAAATTGCTAACTTCAGGGCAGCTTCTGAACTTCATGTTTTGAGGATATTCAGGTCCAGCATTGTTTTGACTGACTCTGCTTTCTGTTGAGAGTAAGGAAATTCTGGTAACAGAATTAACTCAAAGCATATTTAGCTCATTAGGTGAAAGCATGAACAGTAAGTCTATTATCAATTAACTGATTTAATGAACTACTCAATAAGTGAGAGATCTAAAGAGCTTTCTACATCCATACTAAAGAATTATCTGTAATATTTTTGGGTAACCTTTTCTCTTCTCTGCACCTAACCCCTCAAAAATTCTACATTTTTGAATTAATTATAAAGAAATCAAAATGCCTCAGAATGACAAAGGGCATGGAGAAGTTTATCTTTTAAAAGTTAGGACTGGGATTTTCAAAAGAAGTTAATGTTTAGTGGGAGCCAGAAGCCTTTAAAAATGGCAGTCATTTCTGAGAACATAAAGGTCATTGAAGAAAATGAGACATATTGGTTATATTCTAGGATACTTTCTTTTAACAAATGGGGAAATGAGTAATTGAGAGGCTGAGGCCATGAAATGCATTGAAATCAAAGAACTTCTGTAAAGAGTTTAGCTACTTAGGGAGAAGTAATCTCATGATCTGGAAGCCGAATCTTTTTAATCATAAATTTAACATTGGGAACACTACATACAGCCTTAATTGAGCACGGCAAATCACCTATTTTTAGGAGACATTATCTCAAATACCACCTTAAGGTGGCAGAATACTTTCAGAAAATATACCAGAGCTAAAGCAACACATTGCCCTGACCTGGTACAGCAGGCAGGAATATGCAGCAGAATTGGCTTTGTAGGTAGTTAGACCTTGAAGGTCTTAGTGGGTATGTCAGGGTGGTCTGGCTTTTTCTGTGCTGGAAGACTGGTATGTTTTATTGAATGAGCAGGTCTCAGACAGTATGACTATTTGTAGTGGGGTACATCAAGGGTAGCTGGCTTCCTTTTCTGGATCTAAAATGGTACTGGAATGGCAAGGAGGTAAGCAGGAGGAGAAAACAGAATCCTAGGATACAGCCAGGTGAGTGGGAGATCTTGAAAAGGGGACTATCATCCAATAACATTCTATATTTAAGACAACTTTCCTCAGAGTGTCTTAAGTGCTGACAGGAAGAATGAAGAGAAACCAAAAGAAGGAAGCCACTGTATGCAGGATGAAGACGGAGGACACCTTCTCCTTTTGGGGTGTTCAAGGACATGGGAAGTTTTGGAGTAAAAATTTCATGACATGACCTTCTGGCCAGGAGCGGTCGGTCACTACAAATCTCCATGCAGCAATTAGCTGGACGTGCTCAGCAGGTGCAGCCGCCATAGGGAACAGTGGGTTTTCCTTTAGACAGCAGTCCCTCCATGCCTTTCTATGTTTTTACGTTCACTCACAGTGAAATGTCCATGCGGGCTCTGGGCCCGTGTATAATGAATATAAGCTACCTAAAACATATATTTTTCATTGCCATCTTTTGCAGACTTCCCAAAAGTAACCAGTGAATCTCCAGGGCAATGAGGATCCCAGACTGAAAACGACTGGCATAGACTGAAGGTGATATGCTTTTGTATTCTGTGCCATAGCTTGCTTAACTGTAGCTGCTGTTTTCTAGATAACAGAGCTAGAAAAGTGTGATTTCTTCTGAAATAGTTTATTTAATTTACTGTGAATTTTTAGGAAACCGGTCCCTAAAGAGGACACAGAAACAGAAATCTTTTCCATCATCAGTAATAAATAAATTCTGCAGAGGTACACCAAGAGAGAAGCAATTTACAGCCTTCTCTTCAGTAATTCATTTAAATAAAAAAGTCACAACATTCCCACCTTTACTGGCTTCCAACAGTGCAAATGGCTTCACGGAGCCTGATTCAGAAAAGCCTCCCCTGCTTTGATCCCTCCCTCTGTAGCTGGTGGGAGCTGTGGATGAAGAAAGCTTGCAATGTTAGCCACTCTGACCCTCTGAAAGTTCTTCAGCTCTTGTTCAGTCAACTGTCCTCGTCCCAAACTGTTTTACCAGAGGCCGCAAAGCATATGCATCACAAAAGAAATTATGATTTTTACCAAATTTTAGTTGTTTAAATTTTGCTTAAAATCTTCATATCTACTAATTGTTCTATCAATGTAATGACAGATGTTTTCAGAAGAGCGACAGTGCTTCCCAGGTGTGTATGTTACAGGATCCTAAGGGCATTTGTGAGCTGGATGTATAAAAACTCTCATGATAACTTGTTCACCCTGTTTGAATGTACCATTTCACAAAGGGCTTCTCTAACATATGCAAAATATGGCAATATTTGGAAATAAAGTCTTAACTGATAAGTTTCAGTATTTACTTTTCTCAATAAGGATTTAGATCTTGTTTGTTAAAACTCCTTCTCTTAACAGTTGACCATGTTCATCAGCCAGACAGTTCCATTTATTTCTTAGCATATTACTGCTACCTCCCTCCAGCCCTGCTCTTCCCTTCCCACTGCAAGAAGGGGCACGGAGAGACCCATAGGCACTGGTCCAAAAGTGCATTTCACAGAGCATTTCTGGCAACAGGACGATCACTGATTCTGGAAGAGAAGCATACAGCCCTTGTCGTATGTATTTGAGAGCTGGTACTAGCAAAGAAACCACCAAGTGTTGAACGTGAAGAAGTTTGCTGTCATACTTGAAGGTGAATTTCTGTTGGTAGGCAATCTGATTAAAAAGGAAGTATCCTCTACTCTGTTCCAAAGAAATAGCTTTTTTGCCAGTATGGTTCTTCATAAGTCAAGAGCAGATCCAGCATATTAAAGATTAAGATGGATGATGGCACATCTTGATTAAAGACCTTTCTATGTAAAAGTAGAGTCTTCTTCATTCTGCTCAGAAGAGTAAAAATGATGAGCAAATCAACTGCCAAGTGGAAGTATTATCAACCTGTGGAGGTCAAGTTCAGCTCTGAATATATTTGAAATAATGCTGCAGAAAACAACTTTAAGGAATCTTACTGAGAGCCATAAGTCTTTCATAAACCTCCAGCTAAAGCATGCCGTTGCTCTGCCCTTTTGTTTGACTGATAGACCTTGCTCTGTGTGATCTGAATGTTAGTAGGCCTACTTTCCTAGCACTGTCTAAGAAAAAGACTTGAAGGCTTTCCTGGTTTCACAGTATTTTCTGATCTAAAATTCATGACATGTAATAAGACATAATCATTGGAGACCTAGATACAAGAGAAAACATCAAATTTTGTCGTGTTCAGTCCCCTGCTGCCAAATACCCCCGAATATTTTTTTCTCCTTGTTAATTTTCAGCTAACTTTTGTTTGGCTCAGAGCTGGTGATTTAACAGCTCTCAAGTACCTGATCTTACATTTGCAGCTATTGAACTTGATCCAGTTTCTATTCTTCTGTTCCTCCAGATCATCTTACTCTTATTTTATGAAATTCTCACCTTTATTGTGCTGACAATGTCTGTCAGCTTGGCCTCTTCAGAAAATTTCACTACCTACTCTCTTCTATTTACCAAGTTATAAATGAACATATTGTGGAGGTAGTCCACAATATTGTTGATTCCATGTTTAAGCTCCCTTTAGCCCGATGCTTCAACATGACTCATTATCACCTTCCTTTAAATTCTTAAGAGATCTAACATTTAGATCCTCATCTTTTCCAATTTAGCTAATTTACCTTTTGGCACTGCATGAAATACTTTTTTATTCATGTACTGTTCCCCCAGATGATAAATATAGTTTTATGAATATTTGAAATTTCCTCTGTACATTCTATAGGTATTCTGAGACGGATCTGTTCTTCTGAAAGTGCAGAATACCAAGATGAGACTTTTCTCACCGAGGTTAAGCTGTTACTTTACTTCCTCTGGGTCGTGAACTAAATCAGCTTATGCTCATTGCAACCCAAGCTGCTGTCTATGACATTGGCCACCAGTTCTTCTCTATTTGTGGACAGCAGATCAATTAGAGCATTCCTCAGGGCCAGCTCTTTGTGTCAGAAAATTGTCGTCCATGTAATCTAGGCACTTCCTGGATGGCTTGTAAAATAGCATGCCTTCCCAGTACATTGGGGTGGTTGAACTCCCTCAAGAAGAGGAGGGTCTGTTAGTTGTTCGTAGAAAGGCTCATTGCACTACCTTGCCTGGGTCAGGCAGTCTGTAACAGAGCCCATCCCTAAGTTTCTCTCACCTCTTCTATTGTACCAGGGACTTTACAAGTATGTCTTTCTCAAACCTCTAGTCCCACTCCCCTGTGAATCTTGTTTAAAGCCCACTTTAGATTAGTCACCACCAGTCTTGAAGACACAACTCTCTTTCTCAATCAGGTGGACTCTGCCTCTTCTCTGTAGAGAAGTACTCACTTCACTATCTCAAACAGGTGAAACTCCTAGTCTCCCCCAGATGCATGTCTGAGGTCCATACTAGGTCCCCAACTTTATGCCAAGTCATGAAATAAATTCTGTAACCTTGACTGTGAGATGGGAGTTTGATTGCTGCCTGCTAGAAAGGTTCATGTTCTTTACCTTGGGTTTTTTGCCCTACTTAAGAAGTAGAAAAGTCCCAGAAGCAGCATCTGTATTTGAAGATGATTTTCAGCAGAAGAAGATCCTGCATTGTCCTAGCACTCTTGGCCTTGGTGAAAGCAGCACATCTGGGAAGGAGCAGATGGGAGGAGGCAGGGGTGTCTGGCCATCAGCTGCGTCAGCTCCCCGAGAGATGACCACTCACAGAGGCAGGAAAGCTACTATACACTGTTTGTGGCTGGGAACCTTGAGAAAGCAAGAACTGAAGCCAGTCCCCTGGCAGCTGTAGGTAAGGGAGAAGTTGTCACTGTTTAAAAAATAAAACAAAAAAGAATTGTAGCAAGGCTGGGGGACATACAGCGAATTAAAAATGTTCTTTGCGTTAGACATATACTTCTGCTTTTTCTGCTTGTGTTGAAAGCTGACGCACAGAAGTTTTGCTAAGTTGAGAAGGATATGTGTTGGCTTTGGGCTGGAATTGAGAACTATCCTTTGCATTGACCCTGACACATCATTAGGATTTTGTACCTGATTGCAAAGATTTCCAGTCTTGGAGTCTGCAAATCCGCTAAGACACAACTAATTAACTGCCATGTGATGAAGAAATCTTTGTGATAGGCGAGAGCTTCTCCGAAGCAAGTCTGAGCCTCTAGATTCTCATACATGACCATTCAGAGGCTGAAAATGATTTACTGTTAAGTCTTTATTAATAAAGCTATTCTACCTGAATAATTCAGGTCTTCAGCTGCATCATAAGACTCAATAACTCTGCAGCGCAGCAAGCAGCGTTCACTTGCTGCCCACAATTATGTTGAATGACGTGCTTTCCACAAGAAGTGCTGTTATATGGTGCTGATTTGCAATAAATAATCACCAAAAGCTTCTCAATCTCAAGGTTAAAAGCTGCTGATTTATAAAATATGAATTCCACTCCACTTGCCTCATCACTTTAAGGAACTGTACACCAGTATAAAAATTAACACATAAGACACTTGAATGATTTAGATATGAAGCAAAAGATGTTAGACTAATCCTATCAGTGATCTCAGTGGAGGACAGAAGCTTAGCTTTTTACTCTCAAATATTTCTTATTAAAAGTTTTACATTTCTTTCATCTTTTCTCTGAAAAGTGAAAGAAAGCTTTTGAGTTATCTTTTGTTTCTCATATATGCTGTTTTTACTAGCTGTCCCTGTAGCAACATTTCTCATCTTTAAGAGGAAAATGCAGGTCTGTTTTTGGGACAAGGAAAGTGTTGCATATCATAAGCACCTCCGTTTAGCATTCAGGTCCATGTTCAGTAAGGCATTTGAAAATGTGCAGAAGTCATTCACTTCAAATGGCTTCCTGAACCAGGATCTGAGTAAGTTACCAGCATCTTAGGTTTTCTGTAGAAATACGTGTAACATTACAGTTGAGCCAAAAGTAACCTTGGTGAAAAGCTAACTATTTCACTGCAATTATACAAATGAAAGAATCTATCTCTTTATATTTTTTGAATTTCAGAAATAGGAATGTTTTCTAAATCATTTTAAGGTAATGATTACCTAACCAAATGTGAAGTCTGCGGCTTCTACTTCACATCGTGTGTAATGCGAATCTTTCATTTACAGTTATTTAGTAATAACATAGAATGCCTCACAGGTGACACAAAATTGATAGGTTAGTCAAATCCAGAGGTGGTTGTAAAAATACTTTAGAACCCTGATAAGCTGCTTTAGCAATCAAGAAAATGCTGAATGCAACCAACTGTTGATAGATGCAAAGTAATGCATAATATATGAATATATTTAAGCTAATTCTATATACTTTACTAAATTGACATAAACAATTCAGTAAAGACTCTTGATTTCCTTTGAATCTCAGGTCAAGAAAAAAGGCAAACAAAATGAAAGTATATGAAAGAAAATAGAGTATATCATAACTTCTCTACCTAATGAGTGACCTCATTTTGAATGAAGTGCGTTGTTCCTCATTTCATCTTAGGCAGGGTATTGTAGAACAGCTAGAAGACCTGAGAAGCACGGTCAATAGTCCAATAGCCCAGAATAACTATCAAAGTAAAGAAAAACTGGAAAACAGCACGATTGTTTAGTATGGAAAAGAAAGAGTAAATTAATTAACTCATAAGGAAAATATATTATTACTGAATAATCTGGAAAAGGTCAGAGAAGAAGTACTACTCCTACTGCTTCAAAGTAAATGAATATGGGCGTGTTAAATGAAGTTGAAACATAATGAATTCAAAACTGCAAAGAACAGACTAAGTACACTTTCCAGTGTAATTATCTGATAGAATCCTTTGCTTCAGGAAGTAATTGCAAGCTGGAAGTGAAGTGGATTTAAAAAGGGACTAGTAACAATTCAGGGTATGAGAACCATCATTCATCACAATTACAGCAAAGCTTGGGAGGGATGTAAATCTCTTGCTTCAAACCCTGAGGTAATCTTTGTTCAGACTGCATTCTGATCTTTATGTTAGAGCAATATACCACACATTTACCCACTGCAAGTTTCCTATAACCTTCATCAAAGTTGTGTGGTTAGAAACAGCTGGAGCTGTGGAATGTGACTGCAATCCAGTATCGCAGTATTTTTGGTATTTTAATATCAATAATATCTAGTCAATATGAAAACTGAATCTAGGAGTCACAGAATCACAGAATTGTGAAACAATCATTCGTTATAATTCTCAGCAAGACAAATTTTTTATACCAAGTTTATTCCCACACAGAGGTATAAAAAGCAATGAAAATAGTATCCCAGTGCCCCTATCTGGCTTTTGAAGTATTCAATCTGTTTCAGAAAGGCCAACAATCACACCTGAGGAACATGATGGATTTTTGATCACCCCATTTGCCTGGTGTCATGAACCTCTCATCAAAGTCTTCCTAAGTGAGAGCTGGATGTTACCCCCGACCTTTCAGTTTTTTAGGAAGGAATACTCTGGGAGTAGTGTTTGAGCAGGAGATACCAACATCCCCCATGGGTCCTGGGCACTGCTGAGAAACAGAGCTGAGCTGGACTTGCGTTCAGGCTCCTGGAGGATCTGATCAGCTTCAGCACCTCCTCCTGGCTCACTTTCTTGCGTACTTGGGTAGTTGCAAATGGCAACTGTCTTACATAGGAAACTGCACGTTAGATATTAAAAACATATGTCTCTTTAACATAAGCCATATTACTTCCTGTTGTGAGCCCTGACTCCAGGCTACGATTTTCATTTCAACTCCAGTTTACATCATCTATATCCAGTATGCAGCTGCTCAGCTGTTCAAAAGCAGATCCATGCCTTACAGCTCAGGAAATGTAGTGAATGTCATGAAAAAATATGACTTCATCCTTGAGCACTTTTCAATTTAACATAGTGAAAGCCAGTATTAGTAGAATCACATGAGAATCTTTATCTGTGTGTGTTTGACAAACTGTATTGTTTCCATAAAAATCAAGTGCTTTTTGCAAAGCATTTTCAGTCCCTTCCCAACAATATATAAACACAATATCAAAAAATTTGTTATAGTTTAAAACTAATTTGAATCTATATCTCTCTGTCATCTTGATTCTTTGGAATAGACCAGATGTTAGGGTTACCATTGTCCTTGACAAAGACAATCATCTCCCCTGAGACAATCTTTGCTTGTGATACGGTGGTACTTCATAGGAATCCCGTAACTGCCATGAACAGAAAAAATGCCACTTGGCCACTGTATCAGTTTCATAAAAGATAAAGGACTCATGAATAATTGAACTGTGAACCCCAGGAGTCATGGCAGGAATGAAATAAAAATTAGCCTTATATTGACCAGTCTAGAAATGAAGCATTTCAACATTTCCAAATATTTCTCTCAACTCCCTATCCTGCAAAATGATTTTATATTTCATTCGTCTTAGATCCAGGAAGGAAATTCATCTTCCTACCAATTTCATTACTGCACTTCACGTGTAAAATTAAATTTCTTGTGGAGAATCTACATGAAAGGCAACTGACCTGCAGCATGCTCTTCTGTGAAACAGTAAGAATGACCAAAAACCGAGTAAGAAAGACCAAAAGAGCTGTTGGTCTTTTCGTTAATGATAATGCAAATAGTATTGGTATTCCCATGACTGATGTGGACAGCCTCCCTCAAGAGTATCAATCAGTTACTCCCCTCTTCTGCAGCTGTCAGCAGCAACAACGAATATGCTCAGAAAAAAAACATATCATTTTCTAAGGGCTGAGCAAATACTACCTATAATTTATAAATATTAAGGCAGGTAAATCAGCATCATGGTGCTGCAGTACCACTTCTGACCTTTTCCTAGCTTTCAAAACTAGGTGAAACTGTGAAAGAACTCACACTTTAAAAATTGGAATGCATACATACGGTAAAAGTAGTGACACTCCTAGCTAAAAGTACTGGAAGTTAAGCTTTTAATTAATAGAGTTCCTCTCATTATGAACAATTATCTCATAAGCATGTTATCTTCCTTCCAATTGCCCATTTCCCTTGTGGAGGGAGGAACCAGAACAATAAGACTTTGTACCATATAACAGAAACTTGCAATCTGGAGCAAGTAAGCTTGGCAATTGCAAATAGCTAGGGAAAAAACATAATGAGAAATGCTAATCTTCAGTGACCTGCTGCTTTTGTAGATCTTGTAGGAAGTTAAATTCCTACATCCACACAAAGCTAGATAATGCCCGTCAGGGACACATGCCCCCATTTTGTTATACAAGACTAAGGCTAATATTTTCAAGGACTATTAGTAGATGTCAAGATTTTGTGATGTGTCCCTTGTCATTTTTGGACAAATTTTATTATTCTGACCTGTATTATAGGCCAGTCCTTCTGCTGGAACATCTCAGACACACGTCAGATGCTGCAGTGTCTTAACAGCTTTCAGCTATCCTCTCTCCAAAACACCTCACCTTGCTACCGCATATTCGACGGCTGGTAATCCAATCTCCAGATTTAGACTCTTTCCTCCTAACACGATAAAAGTTATGAGTTTAATTATGATGTCTGAGAAATGCTACCACCAAACACAGTTCCAATGAAACCCAAGTTTATATCTCTCAGGAGTGCTGACTGTTTCAGACTACTCTGGCTTACTGTTATTTTGGAGATTGCTGAGTCAAGTCAACAAGCACCCATTTGTATTATTCTGAGTCTCTAGAGAAAGAGGGTAAACAGTGCGGCACCTTACTCAGTGCCAGACACAAATATATTTTTGCCTGTACCTCTCCTGAAGCAGATTTAAACTATGAGTTTGACCCTGAGTACCTCCAGCTTATTATTGAGACCTTGGCTTGTTGATATTGCCTTGTTGATATTGTGAAGGATGACAGTAAACGGTGCATTCTATATCATCAGATTGAAATTGTCAAGACCTTTTTATTATCTCCCAACACTTCTTACTTTAGGGCACACTTCAGCTCGGAGGCTTTTGCAAAGAATTTTCAGTGTTTTGAGCTTAATAGCACCTCTCTTATATTGTATCTCCTGGCATCTGCTGACCAGCCTATCAAATGAAAATATAAAAGACTGGATATGAATTGGTGGTCAGTTAGAACTGCACTCCTATGTTCTGCCTTCATCCAAATCAGTAGATGGACTGAAGTCTCTCCAAGCCTATGGGCTGCAAGGGCCTGAGCTGCGTAGCTGCATTCAACATCTTCAGGCCACTCTTCATTTGCTTATCAGATTGTTAAAGAATAAATTCTTCTTGTCATTTTGTGCAGTTAAAAGCCTTTCAGTTTTGCTTGCTTGTTTGTTTTTTAAATGAATAAAAATTGTCTGCCTTATGTTTTGGAAAATAGTAATCCATATTTACCCATCAGCACAGGGAACTAATAGCCTTACTTCAATTGGAGTAGAGTTGAATTAGACACTCATTGATCCAGATGGTTGACTTACAATGGAAATTAATAGGAACATTTCCCCGAATCTAATTATTTCCTGATAAGACTGCTCAGTCAATAAGTGACTCTTGCAATATCATTCTGTAATGAAATAATCACAGCATTCACTTTTCCTTAATCCCCTACATGTCAGCCCATAACAGACATGCACTTGAAATCTCTTATATAGTGATAAGTGTAATTTGTTTCTCTTCAGTGTTTAAAATGCTGCTTCTTTGAAGTAGAGGTCTAGTCTGACAAGTCAACTTGCAAAAGTGACAACATAGATTTTAATGAGATCACTCAGGGAGTTCCAGATTAAGTGTGTTCCTTGCACTGCTAACTAAATGACTTTACCCTGTGCAAGCCAAATACAGTAGAAGTCAAATAATGGTGCTTTATGCAATGTTACCACTGGAGATGGCCAGGTAGATGTGGGAATTTTCTTGTAGAGGAGTTCCTTCTTATGGATCAAAAGCATAAATATGAACTTTGCTTCTGGCTCCTACTGAAGACTGACTGTCTCTATGGGACCTAATTGTTTCCTAGCTGTTGCCTCCTGCAGTGTTGGTTAAAGAATGTGGTGTGTCTTTATCAAATACATCTGTGGCTGAGTGCAACTATTCCCCCGCCTCCAATCTCAAATCCAAAGTGTGGCAGAGCACAACAACCCCCCTCACACAATGATCTCGAGCCCAAGGCATGGCACAGTGCAACTCCCTTATTTCTGGCTCCAACTGACGGCTAATAGCTGACAGCACCCAGGGCTGACCAGGAGGAACTAGGCAACACTGGCTGCAAATCACAGAATAACGGAATCCTTGAGGTTGGAAGGGACCTCTGGAGATCATCTAATCCAACCTCCCCGCTCAAGCAGGCTCCTCTAGAGCATATTGCCCAGGATCACAGCCAGACGGGTTTTGAATATCTCCAGGGAAGAACACTCCATAACCTCTCTGGGAAACCTGTGCCAGTGCTGACACTCTCACAGGAAATAAATTTTTCCTCATGTTCAGACAGAACTGCCTGTGTTTCCGTTTGTGCCCGTTGCCTCTTGTCCTGTCACTTGGCACCACGGAAAAGAGACTGGCCTCATCCTCTCGACACCCTCCCTTCAGATACTTGTACACGTTGATGAGATCGCCTCTCAGGCTTCTCTTCTCCAGGCTCAACAGGCCCAGCTCTTGCAGTCTTTCTTCAGAGGAGAGATGCTCCAGGCCCCTC